TTCCTGCCAGGTGTGCCAGGGCACACAGGTGGGTGGGAATGAGTTACAGATGTGCTGTTCCAGCTGTTCTTCTTGGCCTTCTGGACAGCCAGGTGAGACCTGGAGAGACTGGAGCCCCTCCTAGTTGCCCCTGGTAGAGAGCAGCTCCTTTACTTGACCTCAGCATACCCACGAGAAGAACGCTTGGGTACTTCTAGAGGTAGGTGGCAGTTCTCTGAAGTAAATGCTCTCTGCACTAAGATCTCCGTATCTATTTAAAAAGATGTTTGTATGTTGTCCAAAAATAGATGCAATTGTGCCAAATGTGTTCCACAAACTAATCAACCACCTCTGGATTTTCATGGCTTGCAAAAGGATATTGATATTCTTTCTCAAATTCAAGCTCTTGATGATCATGATGATGGTTTCAGTGATGCCTAGGAAGTTTTTGCCTTTTATAAGGACGTCTCTCTCATAAATAGGTGTGCTCACTGTGTTATCTCTCGGGGAAAATTAACAGGGCAGGTTTAGATACCCTCAACTAGCCATTTCCTTCAAATTGTAAATATTTCTACTCATATATCTCAATGCACTTCACACTTTGTCCAAAAGAGAACTATGATCTACTCCAGATTGGCTTCATTTCTGGTACTTGTACCTTGAATGGTTTAATTAATTGGACAAGCCAGGACCCTAGAAGTCAATCTCGTCATCTCCCTCTCTGTCATGTTCCATGTCTGATCTAGCACCAAGTTCTGCCCATTTTACTTCCTGAATTCCTCTCCAACCAGCATCTTTCTTCCAGTGTTTACCATCACCTGGTCCAAGCTACCCTCCTCTCTCCTAAATGACCTCCCCTGACCCTGACTCAATGCTTTTCCACTCTGCAGCCCAAGTGATCATCTCAAAATGTCAATTGGATCACGTCACTCCCATCCTTATCATTCCTTAATAACTTCCCATGGCTTTCAGGATAAAAAGCAAAATTCCTAACATGGGCCACAAAGCCCTGCCTAGTCCGGCACCTGCTGACCTGTTCGCCTCACCCTGCAGCCACATTGGATCTCTCCTCTCCAGGAGAGGATTACAGGCAAGACTGTAATCTCCATGAGGATGGGGTCTGTTTCTCATTTGTTCATCCTGTGTCTCTAGTGCCCAGCACACTTCCTATCACATAACAGAGGTTCACAACATATTTGTAAGGCAAATCAATGAATGCAATTTGCTTTTCAGACTCTTCCTCCTAGGAGGCCTATCACCTGATTCAGGTGTGGTCTGCACCAGAGGTTTACCAGTGATTATTCCTTGCTCTTAACAATTCTTACAGTGACATCCAGGCTTGTTTAGCCTCGATTTCCTTGACATGTTTTGATGGTTCTCTTTCAGGAGGGCCTGCAGGAACCTCAGGGGATGGGGCTTGGGGGAAATGAGTGCAGCTGGAAAAAGCTTGTCTGGGAGCTTCTGAGCCACCACCTGCCTTGCCCAGACAGGGCCGGAGGGGCCGCCTCTCAATCCCAGGCTAATTACCTGGAACATGGGAAGGCCTTCTCACAGAGCCTTCTTCCCAGCACCCCTCCTCTTACTCTTTCATTCCTCCCCTTGCTCCCCACATCCCTCAGGCTTTTATACATAGCATATTTACAGAGGAAATTGCTGCCTTTTCTTGAATAGTGGTTCATTTGAAAGAGAAAGAGCAGATCTGTAGAACTAGAGAAATGGCCGCAGTGCTGTTCGCTCTCTGTGAAACAGCATAGCACGTTTCTGGTGTGTGTTGATTGCCCGCCCCTTGAGCCTAATCGTGAGGCCGAGTGGTCGTTGCAGGGGGCTCCTGTGAGCCCGTGTCCCTGCGGTGCACCTGCAGCCCCAGAGGGGCCCCGAGGAGCAGCCTTTGCGTAGCTGCCCTGGCAACCGAGTCCCCAGCGTTTGCTGTGCGTCCAAGGACAAGCAGGTATCTACGACAGTGGGTGTTCTGACAAATTCCCCTCTCACATTGTCACATTGTCTGTGAGCTTTCCAGACTTCACAGCGTGTCTCACAGTTTGGGAACAATTTCCGTCATCATCTGTCTGGCAAGTACTAGTTCTGTGGTAACTTGTGTCCTTAAAATAGCTTAATAGAGAAGAGGGGACAGAGGTCCATTCTGCTTCTGACGTAACCAAATACGCATTTCCAAGATGTTGCCAATATAGACGATCATTTTTAAACACATCCCAAAGAACACTACATTGTCACTACTTTAGCTTTTGGCATACGGTTAAGTTACGCACATGTGCAGAGAGGTTACTTAAGATTTTCTGTTCTAGATTAATTTACCTTTTCAAATCCATGTTTCTCACAGACTTCTAACATGTTGAATTATTACTTTGATTCTTAAAATGTTCTATCAAATTATTCATGTTCTATCAAGGCTGAGTGGCAGCTTTGTAACTAGTTTCCCTGCCTTTAGAATAACTAACTGTCCCAGTTTGCCCAGGACTGCAAGGGACACCCAGGATATGGGATTTTCAGTGCTAAAACCTGAAAAGTCCAAGACAAATCAGGACAATTTTTTTTTTTTTTTTTTGAGACACGGTCTCAAGCTGTTGCTTAGGCTAGAGTACAGCAGCATCATCGTAGCTCACAGCAACCTCAAACTTCTGGGCTCAAGCCATCCTCCTGCCTCAGCCCTCCAAGTAGCTGGGACTACAGGCACACGCCACCACACCTAGCTAATTTTTCTATTTTTTTGTAGAAACAGGATCTTGCTGTGTTGCACAGGCTGGTCTCAAACTTCTGGCCTCAAGTGATCCTCCTGCCTTGGCCTCCCAAAGTGCTAGGATTCCAGGCGTGGGCCACCATGCCTGGCCCAAGGACAATTTTTATTTTCCATCTAGATAGCAGTTTAGTGGTTGGTAGGAATTCCCTGAAACCAACACCCTGCTAAGCTTCTCTCTCTCTCTCTTTTAATGTAATAGCTTTTTGAGCTATAACTCACATACCATATGATTAATGTACCCATTTAAAGTGTACAATTCAATGGTTTTTAGTATGCTCACAAAGTTATGCAACTTCACCACAATTTTAGAATATTTTCACAAGTCCCAAAAGAAACCCTGTACCCATTAGCAGTCACTCTTTTTCCCCCTCAAATCACTCAGCCCTTGGCAATCACTGGTCTGCTTTCAGTCTCCACAGCTTTGCCTTTTCTGGACGTTTCACATAAATGGAATCATACAACACGTGGCCTTTTGGTTCTGGCCTTTTTCATTTAGCATAATGTCTTCAAGGTTCACCTATGTTATAACGTGTGTCAGAACCTCATTTCTTTTTGTTGCAGAATAATATTCCATTGTATGTATGTACCACATTTTGTTTATCTATTCATAAGTTGTTTATCTATTCATAAGTTGATGGACATTTGGATTGTTTTTGCCTCTTGGCTATTTATGAACATTCATATACAGGTTTTTGTGTGGATATATGTTTTTCATTTCTCTTGAGTACATACTTCAATGGAACTCTTGGGTCATGTGGTCACTCTATGCTTAACTTTTTGAGGAACTTCCAGACTGTCTTCCAAATTAGCTGGACTATTTTACATTCTCCCCAGCAGGGTATGTAGGCTCCAGTTTATGCACATTCTTGCCAACATTTGTTATTACCTGTCTTCTTTTTATTATAGCCATCCTGGTGGATCTGAAGTGGTAGCTCATGGTTTTGATTTGCATTTCTCTGATGGCCAGTGATGTTGAGCATCTTTTCATACGCTTATTGCTAAGCCTCTTAAATGGAAAATTGTAGCAAACATAAAGGGTGTTTGCAAATAACCGATCATATGCACCCGGCTTAAGATTTTAGCTGACTATTTAAATTAGATGCCCCCAGCTAATTTCCACTATCTCACATCATTCGACCTGGAGGTAAATCTGCAAGTTTTATTTAAACCATTGCCTTTTCCTCCTGACCCAAAATGGCCCCAGCGTAAGTCTCTCTCTCACTTGCTCTGAGGCTGGGCCATCCTCTGCCTTGTTGCCCAGGTGGCCGTCTTCTCCTGGCATCTGAGTCTGAGGCCAGATCTGTTCCCCTTGGCTTTGCTGATTAACTTCCTCTATGGATGCGGTACCCAGTGGTCACTGCTGGGGCCTGACGCTTTGCACACACGAGGTTTCTTCCCTTTCTCTCACCTTTCAGATTTTCTTCGACTTCTTTCTCCGTTGTCTGTCCCCTCTCCAGTTGCTCTTGTGCACTCTGTGTGTCTATTTAATTTTGATCGTCTGTTAGTTTGGTCCTTCATTCCTCCCCTAACAAATTCAAATAGGATCTCAGCCACTGCACCCCAGCACCTGCCCTGGCCACCTCTTCTCCTCTCATTAGCTGATTTTCTCTCAAGAAATGCCATTGATGTGGTCCTGGCAAGGCTACCAAGAAAATGATCTCTGTCAGAAAACGTATTCTCTCCCCGAAATGCCTTTCGGAGCCTGAGAATGGAAACCTGTAGTCTTCTTCTCTCCGGGAGGGCCCTGTCCACACCTGTGGGGTAGTGACCAACAGTTTCTAGAAACATTATGGGGGCCTCACGCCTCCACTGATTAGCAACTGCTATGAATACAAAGGTCTCCGCAGCTCAAACCCATTATTACCTGCTACATATGGGTTAGACAGCCACGACCTTACAGTCTGACAGAGCAGACAAGGACGATAATCACAATAACAAATAAACCATAATAAGCCAGCCAGGTACTACACTAAGCAGCGGAGGAAGAGTGATTCCATGCAGGGCAGTCCATGGCAGAAGCAGGCAGGAAAGTATTAATATCATTATTATTATCATTTCTATGTTATAACTCACTTTACAAAGCGCTTTAACCCAGCTCAGCAAAACAGAGGGCCACAGTCAATTGCCACAAAGGTCCCTCATTTCTTCTTTCTCTATTTTCTCAATAGAGGCGGCCCCAAGGATGCACATTTGGGGTAAAACTGCTATTTGGAGTCTAAATCTGGGCCCTGGGGCAGCAAACGTTTGCCGGGCTTGTGTTTTTCAGGGTCAAGGGGCCAGAGAAGGAGGAGAAGTTGAGGCAGGCGGTGACGCAGGTGCTGAAGTGCGACGTGACCCAGAGCCGGCCGCTGGGCGCCGTGCCCCTGCCCGCGGCCGACTGCCTGCTCAGCACGCTGTGCCTGGACGCCGCCTGCCCCGACCTCCCCAGCTACCGCACCGCGCTCCGCAACCTCGGCAGCCTGCTCAAGCCGGGGGGCTTCCTGGTGGTGGTGGACGTGCTGAAGAGCAGCTACTACATGATTGGCGAGCAGAGGTTCTCCAGCCTCTCCGTGGACCGCCAGGCGGTGGAGGCCGCGGTGAGAGAGGCCGGCTACGCGATCGAGCAGTTCGAGGTGATCTCTCAGAATTACCCGTCCACCATGGCCAACAACGAAGGACTTTTCTTCCTGGTGGGGCGGAAGCTGAGCAGGTCTGCATGACGCCTGTGATCTCAAATAAAGCAATGCCTTTGACCTGCCCTCTGCTCTTCAGTCCTTCCTTCTGTAGCTGCCACTGGTCATTGTGCCGAGTCAAGGTTAAGTGGCCGGAGCCAGACGGTTCGTCTAAGATGGGGACTGGAGTGGTCAGGCTAGGGCCAAGTCAGTGGCCGCCTATTCAGTGCTCCACTCGAGGGCTGGAGCCAGGGGACCAGTCCTGTGTTTACAAAAGAACACCTCACTCCCCTAAACATCCAGTTATGAGGGCTCAAACCCACACCTGCCTACAGAGGGGTGTCTGCAGTTATTCACTCTGAGTTTCCCAGGGGACCTTCTGCCTCCTCCTCTCCTGCAAACAAGCATCTCCTGCTCTTCAACTCTTGCCTTTCCCTGGAGAAGGTTAATACACCCCAGTCTTTGCTGGTGGGACCAGGCTGCCCGGCCATAGCCCTTCTCTGCTGGATCCACTCTGGCCTCAGAGGTCAGAAAACTGCAGTCCAGCATTTCTGTTCACCCCAGCAATCCAATTTTCTTTTTAAGCTGCAAACATCATTCCATTTTCAAATTCTCTCTCTGCCGTATATTAGCTGTTTCTCTTTAGGCAAGTTATATAACAATGTTGTGCCTCAGTTTCCTCATCTGTAAAACGAGATTAAAATAGAACTTCGTAGTAAGAGCATTAGAATGATTCGCTCCCTATATGGGACCTAGGATAATGCTTGGTACTTGATAAGCATGCAGTCGCTGTTAGCCGTAATCGTTATCATCCTACTCATCACCTCTGATAGTGGTCGCCAAACCGGCTAAGAAAAGATGTCTCCATCTCCAAGTAGCAGAGCCCAGTCGCTGTTCTGGGCTCAGGCAGCCAGGCTCTTTCCTGGCATTGCCTTCAAGAGGGCAATGTGAAATAACTCAGTTTCTATACCACCTACCACCTGTTCCTTTCTGATTTAAGAACCATGCGGCAAATGTTTATTTAGCTCCCACCTTGTGTCTTTCATGCACCAGGCACTGAGAATGCAAGTGAAACCCCCGTGTCAGCCACTCGAGAGTCCTGTCTTTGTAGGATAGTCCCAGTAACAGCCCAAATGCGGCCAGGTACTGCCAAGGGCAACAGTGCTACTGCAGTAGCAGTCCCCACCCAGAACCCACCCTGCCCGGCCTCTCCTGCTCAGCTGTGCTGCTGCCGGTCCACCTGCCCAGCCTGGGGGTGCTGGGGAGAGAACAGCACGGCCTGTTTTGAGAAAGATGCTGCCCAGATGTGCCCAGGGTTCTGCTTTGGGTGCCTCTGAGCCATGCTGGTTTCCTCCCCGAGAGGTAAGAACTCTTCCCATCCATACCACAAATTGGCCAACTTTTCCTGCCAAGGGCCAGGCAGTAAATATTTTTGGCTCTGTGGTCATGCAGTCCTGATCGAAACAACTCAACCCTGCAGTTGTCTCAGAAGCAGCCACAGACACTATAAAAAACAAACATACGTGCTTGTGATCCCATTAAGACTTTATTTAAGCGAGGTGGCTCACGCCTGTGATCCTAGCATTCTGGGAGGCCGAGGCGGGAGGATCGCTCAAGGTTAGGAGTTCGAAACTAGCCTGAGCAAGAGTGAGACCCCGTCTCTACCAAAAAATAGAAAGAAATTAATTGGCCAACTAAAAATATATAGAAAAACTTAGCCGGGCATGGAGGCGCATGCCTGTAGTCCCAGCTACTCGGGAGGCTGAGGCAGGAAGATTGCTTGAGCCCAGGAGTTTGAGGTTGCTGTGAGTTAGGCTGACGCCACAGCACTCTAGCCTGGGCAACAAAGTGAGACTGTCTCAAAAAAAAAAAAAAAAATGCCTCCCCCAGTCAGAGGCATTCAATAGGTACAAACAATATCAAAACAAAAAAGGAGAGGCAGCAGATGAAATGTCACCTACACTAATATTTTTCATACTGCAAGTTGCTACCCCTTAGTGATTCATAAAATCAATTTGGTACACCACAATAAACATTTTTAAAAATAATAGAGAATAAACTAGAAAACAAAATCCCAGAGTAGCACTTCAAGTAGTATAATTTTGTGAAGTTTTGTTTCCATTTTACAAACATCTATGTATCTATCTATCTGTACACATGTATATTTATTACCAGATCATGATATAACATGTATTTATTCCTGTAGGTTGTGATTTGAAAAAGTTTAAAAGCCATTGGACTGTACTCTGGGCTTCTGGGTGTCCTCTCTGATAGCCAAAATGATTGTTCCAGAGATGAAAGGCGTAGCCCTGTTCTTAAAGAACTCTAAGTCACTGGGGGAAACTGACATGCAAACAGTTAAAACACAGTGGGATAAGGGCTCCGGGATAGTCACACAGGGTGCTAAGGGGGAGGATGGCAAGAAAGGTGGCATTTGCTCTGGGTCTTCCCGGCTGAACAGGGGTGTGTTTGACAACCAGGAAGAAAAGAGCAATCTGGGGAACAACATGCGCAAAAACTAGGAATGACCCCTCCTCCTGCTCTCCGGCTCCTCACAGGTTTGTTCTCTGAGTGAAGCCAGGACCTAAGCAAACATTTGGCATCTGGCTTTTTGTTTGCTTTCCCTGAAATCAAACAGACCAACCGAGTCATGAGCAAACACGGACTAGGGTGACTCTGGTCCTAACTTGTAAATCTCTCTGACTGCCGAGCCAGCTCAGGGTTTTTTGGGTCCATTTTCTGGGGAAATGTTCAACCGCCGCACCCTGAGCAAACTTCTATGATGCAGGAAGCTGCAGGTCTGCGTGCACTGTCCTGGGGGAACAGAAAGCGATTAAAAAGGTTGTTAACCCATTTGGTGTCCTGCAGTCCGGCTGTCGGAATTCCTGCCATCTGGCTGTCGGGAGTAATAAAAGGAGATGTCCATGATATGATTTCCTAGGCCGAGCTCTAAAGCTGCAACTTCGTCCTCTCTTTTTAGCCCCAGCCATCTCAGAGAAAGCGTGGTGACCAGTAAATGCTATGGAGGATAAGAGGAGCTGGAACACGCTCAGGTCTGAGGGACAGAACACGTGTTTAATCTTAGCTTGATCACGTGATTGCCAGGACAGCATCACTGTACCTTTCTCATGTTCAGTGACCCTCTGGAAACCAGAGGTAATAATCGTCTCTTGGGGCTATACTGAGATCAAATGAGATACCTCTAAAGGCATTTTGTGACCTGTTCAGTGACAGATATTAGATACCTTTGATATTATTAACCCCTTCTAGGACAGCCATTAAGCCCCGTGTTGTTGCATTCATTAAGATTTCCTTAATGGGCCGGGCGCAGTAGCTCACGCCTGTAATGCTAGCACTCTGGGAGGCCGAGGCGGGTGGATCATTAGAGCTCAGGAGCTCGAGACCAGCCTGAGCAAGAGTGAGACCCCTGTCTCTACTGAAAATAGAAAGAAATTAATTGGCCAACTAAAAATATATAGAAAAAATTAGCCGGGCATGGTGGCGCATGCCTGTAGTCCCAGCTACTCGGGAGGCTGAGGCAGGAGGATCGCTTGAACCCAGGACTTAGAGGTTGCTGTGAGCTAGACTGACACCACGGCACTCTAGCCTGGGCAATAAAGTGAGATTCTGTTCTAAAAAAAAAAAAAAGATTTCCTTAATGAACCGCGTAAGTATGGCCTTATCTAAATCAGCACCATAGGCACCTCAAATCCAGAACCTTCTCATAGCTATTCATTTATTCAAAGGTATTTTATCGCGGCGCGCTGTGGCTACGCCTGTAATCCTAGCACTCTGGGAGGCCGAGGTGGGCAGATTGCTCGAGGTCAGGAGTTCAAAACCAGCCTGATTGGCACCACAATAGTTTAAAAAAAAAAAAAAAAAAACAGCTGAACAGAGCAAGACCCGTCTTCTACTATAAAGATAGAATAAATTATTGGCCAACTAATATATATGGAAAAATTAGCCGGGCATGGTGGCGCATGCCTGTAGTCCCAGCTACTGGGGGAGGCTGAGGCAGCAGGGTTGCTTGAGCCCAGAGTTTGAGGTTGCTGTGAGCTAGGCCTG